GAATGTATTGATTTTGCAATGATGTGTGTGCTCTTTTATTTTTTGATTGTCTGTCATCGCTCATCGCCTTTTGGAGCAAAAACATGCTTTGATCTTTAATATTGAGGGAGGTTTCTAGTAGAAAATTGGATCTAATTTGTATTTAGGAAAAGAAAAAGGATCAAAAGTAAAATTTTCAAAGTAGGTACTTTTAAAAAAAGAAATCAACGAACAGAATTATGGGAAAATGCAAATATTTTCTCTAAACCAAATTTTATAAAATTAATTTAATTTTTTTTTTTTTTTTTTGTCGTGATTTAAAAATCAATAATTGCGGATACTTTAAGCAAGTATTTGAATATCATTTACAAAAAATGATATCATTTTCAAAATATTTTAGCTGTCATTGTGGTATACAAAATTTATAAACACTTGACATTTTCGACTTTTTTCACTTAAATATGCTTGACAAAAAATATAAAAAAAAATATTTGTATTACAAATTAATATTGCCAGCTTCAAAATTAAGCCTTTTCTTGTATTGCCTACCATAAAATATGGTTAATTTATTTTTAGTTAATAAATAATGTGGAATCGGTACAGAAGTAATAATATATATTAATAAAATTATATATTTATGTACAACAATACATATTACCAACAAATAATGATTATTTAATCATGTTGTGAGCTTGTGACATACATTTTCAATAAAATCAATTAAGAATTCATTTAATATACATATATCTAAATAGAATCGTATGTTTTAATGATGCGCAAGCACGAAAACTACTCAAAGCAAAAGTTAGGTTAGACTCTATTTAATATTATATTCAATAGATACTTCTTATAATGTTACAAAATAACTTAAGAATATTTAAAACATAATAAATATGTATCTATATAATTATATAATCAGTGCGGTAGTAAACTAATTATGAAAGATAAATAAAATGGGTGGTGGGGATGAAACCAGCCATAAAATTGAATATAATGTATATATACTTAAGTCAAACACGAAACACTCGTAGTAATGGTGAACAGTGTAATAAAAAAATAAATACACAAAAACGTGTAGTACTATATTATATTATGTACAGTACATTCGAAAACCTTATTATACAATATAGCGAACGTAGGTACACAAAGCGCGCCCAATACGCGAGCGATTTGCTAACGAGAAGTCCCCGTTTGCCCTCGTGGAATACGCGTCTTGGATTACTGTCAGACGTTTTGAATTTTTGTCTATATAATTCAGAAATAACGCAGCGACCCAATCGATATCACAATTGGTATATACGAACGGCTTCTCTGCCGGCAACAACGTCAAAAAAAAAAAAAGATTTAATATTATATTATATAAAATAGACAATAATAAATAAAAAATTTGTAACTGGAAATAAAATACACGTCTAAAAATAAATAGACATCTGACTTGAAACAATGATTGAAAATACTAAAAATCTTGGAACACACAGAACCGAAAACCGTTCATTTTATTAGGTTAATGCAGGACAGTAGGACACTTGGAAGTTCTTGAGAAAAATTATTCTAGGAATGGAAATTCTCAAGAATACTCAAAACAGTGAAATTTTTTTTTTTTTTTTTTAATTATTTTTTGTTGTTATTATAGATAGTTACACTTCTTGATATTTTTATTTTCATAAGTATAACTATAGGTATTATAATAAATTTCAAAATGTATTATTAAGTCTTATACTATATAGTATACAGGATATTATTTAATGATCATCAAGTACAACTAATGATTTTATCAGAAAAAAAAGAATGTTAAAAGTATTTATACACGAGTATACTACTCAAATATTGAGGAAATCGTTTTAAATTATTTTTAGATTATGAGAAGTGCTGGAAAATTATATAAAAAAAAAAAAAATAATAATAAAAAACAAATGTTTTGTTGGTTATTCATTGATATTGTAATACTATGAGTGCTAAAAATTTATTCATATGACATATATTTAGTAAAGAGTTGCCATATTTTATTTGACTTAAACTGAAAATACAATTATTAAATAATTTTTATGTGAAAAAAATCTTATCACTCTTCCATAGTTTACCATCAGTTTTTTCTATTTATTTTTCATGGAATACCTACTACATACATTTGTCGGCATTTTACGATATATGCTTATAAGTAAAAAAAACTTACACAATATAAAAAATCAGAATAAGTGATAAATTAGTGATAAATTTTAACAATGAAAATATTCATCAATAATAATTTTTGTCAAGGGCTCGTGAGGATAATTTTAAAATAGATTTAAACATTTAATCAACTTATTCACTTGATTATAATATCAAAAAAAAATATTGTTTTTCAATAAAAAATATTTAGCAAAATATAAAATGTGAACATAAGTTATCGAAGTTTTATTTCAGGACAATCGGCTTAGGTTCGTTACAAAATATTTTATCAGAATAACTGGTATAAACTGCTATGTACTAAACAGATATGACCTTAACTTAGTGACCAATATAAGTAAAGTTAATTTCATCTATTTACTAGTTGCGATGGATGCCGTCATGTAGTGATAAATTTTACCTCAAATAGTATTTATTTTAGGAGTAACTATAATATAGACTCTTTGGGTTCAGGTCTTACAATTTGTCATAGTGTCCCGAAAATCTTTATTAAAATTTAGATATGACACAGGAATATGATGATTTATTGTTGAAAATTCGATTGCATCATTTAATTATTAATAATATAATACCTTTCTGCAGCATATCTCATTGGTTATGTTAGGTTTAGTAAAACCTATTTACTGATATTCAACGGCGGAATTGAGATATTAAATGCTCAAAATACAATAGAATAATAATAATAAAAATAAGCAAAAAATAAACTATATTATTTCTATAGGTGTAAGTATATATTTATTATTTTAATAAATAATAACGAATTTAAGGTTAGTATTGATTTTTCATTTAATATTTACACTTTAAAAAACCCAATTTCATACTTTAAATTATACTATCAGTATTCACTGAAACTCTATTGAAACAAAATAATTTCGTTATATAATTTTAAGAACTGAAATCGAAATCAGAAACTAAAAATTAAATTTTGTAATAATATAAATCCGAGACCGGAACCAAAAAATCTATAAATGTTCTTCTCAGTCATGGAACACTAACAGGCACGCACACGAGGTATTTCCGGTTTTTTTTCGGTCTACCAATTCGTCGAGAGAGGAAAAAAATATGTATATATATAGAGGTGCAGTCATATGTATATAATATGTAATGCGTATGCCGTATACATATTATATGCACGCATATATATATATATATATGTGTGTGTGTGTGTGTGTGTGTGTGTGTGTGTGTATGTGTGTGGAGCGCGAAAAGATTGAGAGACGATCAACGAAATAATTCGACGTACGCCGTGAGGGTTCAAACCACTGAAAGGAGAATGGAGAACGGGATGGACTCGATATCTTATTATTCGATCTAGTGGAAGAATACATTTATATATACGAAATACGCATGCCTACATATATATGTATATATATTTTTGGCGGAAGTCACGAAATCAAAACTGAAAGGGACGGTAAACACGTACACATGCGTATAATATGCATATACGTGCATATCGTACAATGATAAAAAAAGCAGACGTTAGCGGGAGCGTGACGTGTTGCGGAGCGGCTAATGGGTCCTAGTCAGTCGGTCAGGGTCGTAGAATCTGAAATTCATTTGGTGAATGATTTTTGAGAATTTTAAAAGCAGCGATTCTCAGATCCTTCGTCGTCGGAATGACAAGTTTAAGTTGAGTTCCCATGACCACGGTTGACAATCGCAATCTTCCATGTACTTAAAATATGATGGGTAATTCACCAAGTACGCTCACACCATTTTTTTGTTTTATATTGAATTTAGTCAAATTATGTTTTTGGAAATTTTCAATTAAAATACATTTAATATTTTTCTAATAATTATTAGACAAAAATAACTTCATATATCATCACAAAACACTTCATAAAAATAGTATAAAAATAAAAATATTTCAAAGTATTATTGGTTTTAAGACCTACTATAATTAAAAATTACAGAAATCATTATTGGAATAAATTTATTATAAAAGGAAAAAATAGGAGCGAGCATGATTGGATATTAATTTTGTATTATAATTCTATCTCTATTCACTGCCCCAGATCTTAGTTCTTCTAACTATGGCATAGACTGTAAAATAGAAAACCACTTTGTTTATAAATATTAAATAAGGATTATTCACAAAAAAAAAAAAAAAAATAAAACAACAATATAAATGTACATAAAGATGGCCTATATTGTAACATTTTGTTTTTTTCTTTTGATCATTAACAGCTGAAGTTACATCAACTTAAAATTTCAGCTATAACTTCTATGCTGCGCAAATAATAAATAATACAGGCATTTTAATTTAAAAGTTGGCTTTTCTTTTAAATATAATTTATTTAAAAAGTGTAAAAAAAAATAATACACCTATTATATTATAGTATTATACATTTGTTTTACTTATAAATAATATTTTATTATTATTTATTTTTTTTTTAACTTGAGTACATAAAAGCAAAAATTACTAGCAAATATTATGTCGTACTTATAGATAACGATAAATTATGGAATTATATAAATTTTTCAAAATATAATTATCATTGTATTTCGCATTTCAATACTGTTTTCCTCTTATTTTTTTTAATGATTCCTACTCAGTAAAGACACCCGAATTTTGATTATTATAAGAATAGGACTGTGTGGGACGTCATGCGTGCGTGTGAAAGAAGATTCGGCGGTGGCGGCGGCGGCGACGGTTAGGATTGCAGATCGGTGGTGGACGGAGGAGCGTTGTCGGTCGTCCGACTATTGTGCGCGAGCAAGACTGCTGCTGCCGCCGCCTCCGCTGTCGTTTGCGGTGACGGCGGCACGGTGGTGGCGCTGGAAGCAGGGCGGCAGAGGGTGCCAAGCGGCTTGGCTCCCTTCGACGCTATCAGTATTCAGTTGTTCCGGTCGAGCTTAACGCGTCGCACGCGCACAGACGGTGTGCACCATCGTCGTCGTGGTCATTTATCGCGGTCGTGGTCGATACCGCTCAGTTTCGGTTAAGTTTCCTCTCGTTTATCTTTTGAATTTTATTTTTTCCTCCTGTTTATCGACCACCAGTTCTATTATTGTCCCTTCTCTCTCATCCCACCGACGTTAACAGTATTTATTATTATTATTATCATCATCTACATTATTAATTTTCTGCAACCCGGTAAACATTTGACTACAGCTCTCTGAAATTCTAATGTGATGATAGTCACCGGCTAGTTCACTTTTTCTGCAGGTACGGTATTTAAATTACTAAAAAAATGTATATTTTCACTGTTTTTATGGTTTAATGAAGAATAAACTACCGTAACTATAATCTAGTAATATACTAGACAGGATATATACAACAATTATAATGATTAATGACAATGGTGTGTATCTCTAGATTTCATACAGACAGTAGCGTTAATTAAAACAGACTATAGGTTTAGGGCACATTTATTTAATATATTTAGATGCCAAAAATATCGTTGTATGATTATCTTAATAGAATCGCGGCACCGATCTATTGCATTGGATAGTATCCAAAAATGGTTTCCAAATTTGCTATGTCATTAATCGTTAAAATATCTAACCACCGGCACTATTGTCACTGTGGTTGTTTGACTACAGTAGCTTTTGAACACTGTAATAATATATTGTATACCATTCGGCATTCACATTTAACCGTTTCTTATATATTATTTAATAGCATCACAAATATTTGATCAACCCAAAATTCTTAACATAATACTGTCCATATTAATTTCCGTCAATCGTGTTTGGTTGTATGTAATATATTTTCCAAATTATTTTTGAATAATAAATAATAATAATAGTAATATTATTACCAAACATTATTCAAATCATAACAATAATTATTAATCATGAATTTCATCAAGTATACTAGTTTTGATAAGTATTATTTAATTTTAAGTATATGCATTAATTATTTAGTATTTATACTTGAGTGATTTATTAATTAAAAAATGTAATTGTAATTTTATTAATTTCATATATCTTTAATACATCAATACTTGAGCGTTTATGGCGTTTATCTTAAATAAATACAACAAATACAATGTCAATAGATTATACAATCATTTTAATTAATACTATAGTTTATTGGTGTATAATTTATCTAAATCATTACATTGTATTAATTGTATTGTAATTTACCTGTACGTTATTCAAAAGATATTTCAAGCAAATTTTGAATTACGAAGATTTTTATTTGTTACATTAATGTTATTGTTTGAAAATTAATCTTAAAAAAAAAAAATAATTAGCAAATGGCGAATTATAGCCATTATAGAAATCAAGGGTTCTCCCCCACATATTACATAGGAGCCAATTTGTAGATTACCACCTGGGCTATTCCCTAAAGAGATATTATTTCAAGTACTTAAGTACTTTAATATTTCAACATGGGTATCTACTCTATTTTTATTTTCAACAAAGTCTTCATAAAATAGTTTAAGTTTTGTTAAATTGTTGGTGTAACTACGATAAATAATTTAACTATGAAGTTAATTTTGTAGGTATTCAAATTAAATATTTTTATTTTATGTCATAATATACGTATGCTATTTTGTTTAAAGTTATTTAGTTTTTTTTAAATTTAGAAAAAAATGTTTAAGGTTGGTAGAAATGCTAAACAGTTTAATAAAAAAATTTCATATACACAATAGTTCAAAAATATTGATAATACAGTCATATTATATTTTTCTATTTTTTTTTAAGCATTTTGAATTTGTATTTTAACGATTTTTCAATATCATTAAAATTTAAACATTATTTTGTAGTTAGAGATTTAAATAATGTTCAATATTAATAGTTTAGACTTGAACATTTATTACAAGGTTTTCTCATAAATAATAGGTATTACTAAAATTGACAAATTAAACAAATATATAAACGCAATTTTTCATAGATATTTAAAATTTAAATGTTGATACGATTGAATATTTAAAGAAAGTATAATGATTTTAATTAGTTTATTGTAGTTCATAAATAATTGCAAAGACTTTTTTTAGGTATATCATTAATGATTTATTATATTTTAATGTATTTACACAATAATATTTACAAAATATTGAGATTAATTTAAAATGTTTAACTACCTATTTATAATTTGTAACATATACTAATAGTAAGATTAATTACTGTTATAGAAGCATATATAATATACTAAAAAATATACTTAATAATATAGGTTTAAAAACGTTTTCATATAAAATAATTTATTATTGAATTCAAATTTAACACCTACTGTACAATAAAATGATTCTTCCTTGCTAAGTACTGAGCACTTGTGTACTTTTTTGATTTAATATCGTATTATGTCAACTATTTTAGTACCTATTATTAAATTTTATTGTTTTTTTTTAATCTATTCTTACTTCTTATACGGTAATAATGTCTAGAATTCAGAGGACCCTTGAATAATAAATAAAAAATAATTAACTATTAATCTGCATATTTTATGAATAAATGACTATACATGACTATTTATATTTATTCAGCGTTTATTTATTATTTTAGTTGGGATTGATTTATTTAAATAAGCGATATTTTTATTTTAGTTAATAATAATGATAATGTCAGATCAATGCACACTATTTGTCTATGTAAGAAAAAATAACTAAATATTTATCGAGATTAACACTAACTGTCTTTTGCAATGCACAATTGAAAAAAATAATAATAATCGTATTGTTAATAAAAAAAAAAAAGAAATTGGAAAATTATTTAAAATAATTGTTGTACTAAGAAAATAAATGATTTTGATATGTGTGGATGATTGTTATTTAAATAATTTTTCTTTGCTTACTATTTTCCATTGTAGGTATATTAAAATATTAACAATACTTAATAGATTTATATTACAATATAATAGTATAAACCACATACAGAGCGTTGGTATTATTAATGCAATAATAACAATAAGTTCATAAACTTCAGAAGTTTAAGACTTTAATATTAATTACACGCAGACTACATTAGCATAAGATTGAATAACAGCTAAAATCAATGTTGTTAAATAAACGACAATGATAATATTATGCGCGTTGTATATAGATAGTTAAATGTTATTTTGTTTTACGGGATTTTGATTAATGTGAATCACTTGACGTAGGTATACCTATTTATTTTAAAACATACATATTTAATATTATAATTCGTTTACTCATACGATATCAGCCAATAACATGTTATTAGAAATTTTTAAATACATTATATATTAATGTCAGCACATTCAAAGTTTGGGTTACAAATGGTGTTTGTAAACTTATCATCCGGTATAATTACAAACAATTCATGTAGGAGTTTCATGTATCGTACACCTACCTACATGCCAACCTTTGGCTAACTAATAATAAAATTGCACTACTTGGCGGCGACGAATTGTATAAATTTGTTAACCGTTTTAATATTAAGCAGATAGTATATAGTCGTGTAATGCGTACTATTTTATATATACTGCCATAGATCAGTTCTGAAAAAAATCGCGTTTTTTATTTAATAGTAGCGGTAATAACACATTTTGTCATTAATATTATTATTTTTTTTTTTTGTTTTTGTCATTAAATTCTATGAGGTGAAACAAAAACCAACTACAAATATATAAATCATGAAATTTATTAAATTCGATTTGTATAATAATTTTAACGCAATTTACCGAAATTAGTACGAATCTATATTAAACCTTAATTATTATTTATTATATTTCAAATACCTGGAAATATGTTACTTATAGTAAACAGTATTGGAGGCATTGTCTTGAAAAATAGTAAGAGCTCATATTCTAGAAACGTCGTCATAGTGACTTACTGTTACTGGAGAATAATGTATTTATATAATTGTGAGTCGCACGATGCCTTGTATGAATTATTATGCCTTTTTGCCAAATGTCTCCTATAAGCGTCACAAGGGATGATTGATGAGAATAATATAAATTTTAAAATTATAAGAATTAGAATCATTGTGTCGTGACTACGTGTGTACGTTTATATACGAACTTCGCTTCATCGTCGCCGCCACACTGTCTTCCCGCTGACAGCAAGCGTCGGCTTTTTAATGGAGAAATATGCGAATAATCTCTTAGAAGCCCGGCGGGGTTTATCGAAATTATTGTTGCCAAAGCTTTATATACACTACGCTCAATCGTAACACGGGTGTACATTATATAGCATTATATATGAGACCTGGGGACGCCAAGTTGTTGCTTCGACCCTGCTTCGAAATATTATTGCACTTAAACCACGACGGCGAGGAAGACGATGATAATGATGATGACGATGATGATGATTACAGTGATTATCACAATAATGTACACATACACAATGTATACACACACAGCACACACTCATACAATATACATGTGTATGTATGTGTGTGTGTGTGCAGCAGGGTGCAGCGACGCCATTGCCCGAGGTACTTTCTACCCTTCCCTTCGCCAATCTCCACCAAACACAACCAAAAACTGGGTCCAAGTCCTCGCTGCTCGTTCTCAGTTGGATGGACGGTTAGTAGTTTCACGAGAAGGACACGGCGGGTGTTTACTGTTTCACATTATCGTCGGTATCATAAAACTTGCTGTTTGGGTGCGAAAGAAAACGGACCCAGTTAAAGAACAAAATATGCCGAGAGAGGGTCGAACATGGTACCAGCTTTCTTCACGGATCGACTATCATGCGCTTAACTCCTCGTAGTCAGTGATAAAATTAAAAGTGTACCAGTATAATGTATTTTACGTGTAACTTATATGTCGAGGGTGCACGTTTACGTAAAAGGAAACAAATGAAACACGGCTGATCGTGACCGACAGATGCAGTGCTTATTCGAACTGAGAGCGAATTTTAGTTATAAGCTGGAAGCAATATTTTTTTTTAGACTCTTTCGAGCATTAGGTTTTTGTTGTTTTGTTTTTTTTATTATTATTATTATTATTGAGAATCGTACAGGGATCTGTGAGTAACCTTTTGAACCGCAATAACAATTCACTCGTTACACATACTCACAAACACACACACACACACACACACACACACACACACACACACACACATATATAAACTATCGTTGTGTACTTTGTTCGATAACAAATAGGGTAGTAAGTCTATTTACAAGGAGATTACCATGATAAAGTCCACGATAGGATTTATTGGTATGAATTATGATAATAATATAAAACAGGTTTATCGGATGATGTTTAAGATAAACTTGAATTTGTACGAAATTCATAATTATTTT